TATTATTATTATTATTATTATTATTATTATTATTATTATTATTATTTTGGCCAAGGAGCGCAAACTGAACCGAAGTGCTTTCTATTAATAGATTTATGAAGGTGCACTATTCATTACGTTGCACAATAAATAGTGATGTGAATGGGTATGATACAGATTTAATATTGTAAAATAACAATAATTCCATAGTAAAAGAGTAGATAAATATTACTTATGTGCTTTAAATAATTCAGACCAAACAGTTTTTTAGTGATTAACATTTTTTTTTATCACTTTGGATACCTCCCTGATGTTTTCGCTTAGACCCGCCACGGTTTGGTAGTTTTATTTTTTTTAAATGTTTCAATTACAGGCAACTCTCCGAAGCTCTGTTAACATCGACAAAGCGATTACGTACGATTTTCTCCACCCCTGGCTCGGAACGGGACTTCTCACTAGCACAGGCAAGGCACCTCTATTCCCTTATGGTATTGAACGAATTAAAAAAAAATTCCATTTTTTATAGCTGATTTCGTGTATTCTCGCAGGCAAAAAATGGCACTTCCACCGCAAGCTCATCACACCTACCTTTCATTTCAAGATTCTGGAAGCTTTCCAAGAAGTTTTCGCCGAGAAGAGCAGCATTCTCGTGCAGAAGTTGGAGAAGGAAGTGGGGAACACCGAAGGTTTCGATGTATTCCCGTACATTACACTATGTACTTTGGATATAATTTGTGGCAAGTATTACTACGAGAAGTATTATATTAAACTACAAATGTGAGAACAAACAAAAGCCGGTTCCGCTCTTTAAAACTCCTAGTAAAACTGTCATTGTTTATCTGCTTGCAATTATGTCATGGCTTGCAGCCATGTTTATCTTTTTGGTGACAACCTAAGTGAATGGAAATACTGTAATACAAATTTGAAAAGAAAGACATCATTTAAAGATCAAATTTAAAAAAAAAATATTGGGAAAAATAATTTAAATACTGTAGAAAAAGACAAAAGTGTGAATAAACACGATTCGCACTCACACACACACACACACACACACACACACACACACCATATTTTCGAGCATACGTAATCATTGCTTTATTCATACCTTTTCTGTACTACGGATATAGATCGTACACAACACGGACGTACGTGTAATTTAAAAATTGGTACACAAATATCTTTAAATTAAAATATTACAATTTGATGATGCATCTGTCGCAGTCCTTAGTAGTTCTCGCCCTTACTTACGCAAGAAGAAAAATTATTGCAATATCGTGCCGAAAAACGGCGAATTTTCGACACAGACTCTTATTGTAGAGCCGTGGTAGCAAAAAAATGGATAAATCTAGTTGGTATATTCTGTAAATTACTTCCTCGGACACGTTATATTTGTCAGAATTTATATTTTGCTGGTCCTTGATACCGAAAAATCCATTGACAGCAAAACGTTCGTCTGTCCGCGACGGCCCGTTTATCCGACGGTCCAGCGCCTAAAGCGTTCAGCCGATTTTCTCCAAAATTGATATTCCTATGTTGATCTGAACAAACCCGATGCTTTGCGATTTCAAACGGATATATTCATTTTTTAGGGTACTTTACATGAAGCGTCAACATTTTCAAAGTTTTTTCAAAAATGCCACGAACATTTTTGCTTAAAATTTGTCCTCAGATAATTTTTGTTAAAATCGCTGACTTGTGGAAATTGCAAAGTTGCATTTTTTCCGGCGTCTTTCTACAACTAAAATATTTTAGATCGAGTTTTTTCTTAATGCTGTTCTTTAAACAAAGATTTTAAAAAAGGTCATCCACAATTTTTCGAAAATGTGTGTAGTTTTGCATAATTTTGCATGAAATATGGGCAATTGTCAATTTTAAAATTTTTTTTTCTATAAATGACGCTAAATTTCTTCTTTAAATGTTCTCACCGTATGTATCAAATAACGGTATAATGTGGTGTAATTCTCTTTTCCGGGAACTTCGGAGGTCGAGATTCCCTTCCCAGAAGGCTCGCCGCTCATACAGGCACATTTTGACGTAAGTGGCGTGTTGTAAAATTCTGTTTCTGTTTCTTTCCTCCTTTTCAGAAACTGCAATGGGGACCGAAATCAACGCGCAGGAAGATTCTCATTCACCATACGTATCTGCAATTTATGCGTACGTTTATTAAATGAGTATCGTATCTAGGAAATATTTAGACATAATAGAATTGTTTAAATTAATGCCTTGCCCATAAGAGGAAGCGACTCGTCGTGTCTTATGTTCATCTAAAGGTGCGTTTACACTGTGCGCACGATCGAACAAGAGATTCTGAACGAATAGTAATGTATAATTGTAAAGTACCTGTGAAAAGTATTGCTTCTGGGTCAATGACCCCCACCTCGATCAGGTTTTCGTCCAGTTTCCCTGATCCTCGAGCAAATGCTGAGATGGCCCCTTGTTTTGCTTCTGGACATAAATGTAACTTCAAATTAACTTCTCTCTATAGCACGTCACACACAGATTTTAACTGTTTTGGACGTAAATAAATAAAATAAATAAGGCTAATAGATGAGCGACGAAATTTGGGGCTAATTCTTTTTGCGTGCTTTCATAAAAAACGAAGCTGCTTGATCAATAAATCAGATTCTATTTCTGAGATCTGGATCATGAATTGAAAAATGTGAAATTATTAAATTAAATTTATTGAATTAAATGGTTTTAAATTGTAGTTATTTATAAAGTTCTTACAACTACAGAAATAACTCAGATTTCTCAAAAATCCCTTATTGCTTTTTAGATCTGTAAGAAGTTACAATTTCTAAAAAAACTGCGAATTAACATTTAACAAAACATGTTAATTTAAATAAAAATTATTGTATTGAGCATAAATGTCAGAGAGTTAAAACAATTAAATTAATATAATAAAATTATCATATTCTCAACGAAATCGAATATAAAATAATTATTCAAGCCACAGCTTCATCAATTATTAAAGTGCGTCTTGATAAAAGTGAATTGTCTCTGGCGTTCGCAATATTAACGTATAATATGGAAACAAACTAAAAATTAATTAAAATACGCAAATTTGTGTATTTTGTATTGTACCTTCATTCCTTGCCTTTTAAACTTATCATTTAAAATGTTCATACTTTTTATCCAATCTACAAACTGCACAATTCGTCTTTCTGCTCACGTAACTGTTGAAATTGACGCCATTCGACAACGTGTTCGCAGGTGGATATGAAAATGTTCGACCGTGTCCCGAACCTCCGAGCGAATGTGTTCGCTCGTCGTCTGCATTCGTTTTCAACGGAACGAACATACCCAACGAACATTCGCTCGCTTCTGCCAGCCGATCTCTTTCGAATGACACGATTCGCTCGGGTGTTCCGAACGACACGATTCGTTCAGTCGAACGAACGAAATATTGTTCGTCCGGAAGCAGTGAAAACGCACCTTAAATAAACAGTGCGCGCTTTCGTATATGAAATAATCAATATTGTACATTTTATTTTTCAATGGAATATACTCTACGTTTTTTTAAATGCACTTCTAAACCTGCATGGACTCCGTATTGAAATATTTTGTTCATTTCTAATTCTAGAGCTTCGGAACTTACTCTTGCCCGAATGCTTCGACCTTGGCTGCACCCGGATTTCATTTATTCGCTGACGCAAAACGGAAAGGAGTACAAGAAGTGTCTCAATATACTTCACTCTTTCACCAATAAGGTAAAATGTTTTGTCACTGATAAGTGGAAATGATGTAAGGTAGCTTGGACAGAAAACTGCCGAATATGAGATGGATCGTGCGCAGAAAAAAAATCACCTCTACTTTGAAATCTCACTGAAAGACTACCCCAAATAAACAACCATCCATCTCAACCACATAATAACACTTTTCTTAATTTAACCTTTTTAAGAGACCACTTTCAGGAAACTGGGTAGAGAAATAAGATAGGATAAAAATTTTGTATATTGAAAATCGTAATGGAAGTCTAAAAAACAAAAACAAATTTCCCTGCGGATGTAAATAAATTTACCTGGAGTATTTCGTACAATTGAGAAAAACGTGTTTTAGCTTATTGTGTAAGTTCCAATTGTCTTTAACCACATTTGGCCTATGAATATTGACTTCAATTATCCTTGCAATTTTCTACAGATGATAAAGATGTTTGAAAAATGTTTCAGGCGTTTATATCCGCTTTTGGTCCTATAAACCAGAAAGGAGAAAATAGGGAAAAAAATTTCCTTCGTTTTTAAGAATATCCCAAGTTGTGACGCAGATCGTAAATCGCAAGGATAATATAAGTCAATAATCATAAGTGTAATGTGTTTAAAATATTTTAACATATATAAGTATCTAAAAAGCAATATTTTCATTTGTACGAAGTACTCAGGGAGAATTGCTTGACATCCGACGAAAAACGTGTTTTTTACCCTTCAATTACGATTTTCAACATAAATAATTTGTATCTTTGAGGGCAGTTCTGTCTTATTTCGAAAAGACAAATTGTTTCACGGAACAGCAGTGATCGCTTAATGCAGGTTTAACTGTAACTGCTTATTAGCTGCTGCATTAGCGACGCAGGGCTGTTTCAAGCCACCTGCGTGCACTGTCAATCCGAAATACAATGGTCTGTGTATTTTTCAGGTTATCAATGAAAGAAAACTGAGTTTCATGAAAAAACAATGTGTAGAAGAGGAATCTGACGTACTTGGTAAGCAAAAACATGGAGATATTCTCGGTCAAATTTAAAGGACTCCGATAAAATAAAGCTTAAACGCTAATAAATACATTTTGTTGTATAGGATGCTTTCTTCAGAAAATCTTATTTTCTGTTACTAGAAATAATTAGAGAATAACATGTTTGAAAATGTGCACTAATAAAAATATATATTTATATCATGTATTCTATTGTAATATATCAACATGCTCGCTTCTCAGGTAAGAAGCGCAGGAGGGCTTTCCTGGACCTGTTGCTGGAGGCTTCGGAGGAGGGCGGGAAGCTCACGGACGAGGAGATACGAGAAGAGGTGGACACGTTCATGTTCGAGGTGACGCTATCTATTTCGCACTTACAAATATTTTAACAATTGGATCTTAATCCTTATCGTAACGAATCGACTCCGACGAGATCGGTGAACGACATCAGTGAACGAGTGGCGGGGCGAGGTTAATCGGTTTCGTAGTTCAAATGAGGAAGTGGAATTTTAATTAATTAAAATGCTTTGGCATATAATGTGTTGAAAATTATTCATTGGGCAGTGTCAAGGATGTTTTATATTACTTGCGTGGCCGAATGTCAGAGCCTCAACATAAACTTTGATTGGTGTAGTGAAGCGTCAAGTGTCCAATGAAAAAACTGTGGAATAAAACGATTTGTAAATTATGAGTTGAACAATATATACCCTCAGTGGTTTACGACTAAATGCTATTTCGTGTTCTACCAGAAGGATTGCTCCCCGGGGTGGGCACCTACCCCATCCAGTGCAACGACACCTTCAGGTTGTTAACTGGATCCAGCCGGAACGCATATATCCTTCACGGGAACCTCCCTAATTGGTGGGGTCACTCTGCCAGCTCAGAGCTACTAGATTTCCAGACTAGCACCGGTGTCAAAGTAAGCGCCATTCGCAGGTTAAGTCACTCGTCAATTGTTCCAGAGTATCGGGTACTTACAAAACGAAGCCAAGTGCCCATCTGGAGACTGCCCGGACTAACACCCGGGTGGCTCGGGGTCTCCAACCCATCTTGTTTCTGCCTCGACCTTGCAGCTATCGATGTGAATACCTAGGGAACCTAGACAACCTGCAAGGCGGGTTTATGCTCCCCCATCGGACTTTTAAATGTGGGGTTTGGAGAATATCCCTCGTCCAATCCTGCACAAAGGTCTGTGGCGAACCACCTTCTCACTGTCTCCACCTAGAAGATAACCACAGGAGAACCGCCGAGAGACTTTGGACCATTTCCGACTCCATCCGGAGCTTCAGGTCTTGCCACCGTCTCATGAGTCTGTCCAACTCATAACCTCGCGGGGGGGGGGGCGCGAGGTTATGAGTTGGACAGACTGGAGGATGTTTACTGTTATTCGCAAAGATTGAAGGTTCGCGCCCCGTATTGAAGCCACATAGGGTTTCGAAAATTTAAGGTAACAAATGTGGCTCTATTCACAATTGGGCGTTCATTTTCTCGGGGAGCATGTTTTCTCTCGTTCGTTACGATATGGGAGAAGACTCCAAAATATATTTATACCAAAGTGAAAAGTTGAAAGATCTTTTAGTTTAAAAAATGGTTATGTGAAACCTGATTACGGAAAAATGGCTTAATTTAATTGATTGTGAACAAAAATTGCTTACAGGGCCACGATACAACCTCAGCCAGTCTTTGTTGGACACTTCTTCTGCTGGGCAATCATCCTGACATCCAGGTGAGCGCATTTTGAGCGTCGGAACATCACATGTCACATTTTCGAGCAAGAGTAACAGCGTCTTTGAGCAAGAATATTTTTCAAAACTCGCGGAAAATTGTTGCCCTCTTAGTAATGTGGATTTACTGAAAAAATATGACTATCTAGCATTCATCGAATATTTATTTCTCACCAATCGTCTATTAAGCAGCCTAGACCACCCCACACACTTCACCCATCGCCCCCACACATCCCATACAGTCTGCAAGGGTCGTTCCGCTTTAAATTCCCGCCCCCTTCCCAACTAACATGCTTATCAAGCTTCGTCCATATCTGGCATATCTTCCATGCCACGGCAGTGCGCTAGATGAAGCCCAAATGGATTGGGGGTTGCATTTATCCATAGTCGTGATTTAACTGAATATTAAAATAAATATTTTGACGTAACGGTTTTAATACGCAACAGCGCATTTTTTAATTTTTTGTTCCCTCAAAAACATTTGTGCAATTTAGGAGCAATCACTCCAGAGGTTGTAAAGTTTTTATACCACATACACAATCATTTTTATGTATTAGGAACACGAAGCTGAGCAATGGAGGGAGAGGGGTGATCAACAGAAAAATCATTTCTTCAACTGACAGAGATAACACGGTTACAAGGTTATAACAAATGTTATGTTGGTACCATGGGTCGTTTGTATAATTGGCTTAAGTTCCATATTGATAGATTAAGTATTTGTGGAATAAATTGGTTCATACAGACAGGCAATTGTGTTGACGTGAGATTTATTTCAGCAATCGAATAAGTAAATTGAAAAAGTATTTAAAAAGTAAAAAATTGAAAATAACACACACTTCAGATTTATGTATCTGTATTGATATTCATTCATCAATTCAATAAAATAATCGATTGTTATGTATCGCCACAGTACTGTTATGTATCGCCACGGAGAGTGGAAGTCAATAATTTTGCACGAAAGTGACTAAAACATCAGGACTCAAGATTCTAGATAAATCTCGCATTGCTTTTTGGCAAACGGACTACTTGTCTCCTTGAATACCAAGTCCAGCTTCACGGTATGAGGGCACCTCACTCTAAAAGAGCATTCATATAAATTTATAGCTCATCTTCCAATGATGAAGTCGCATGTAATTTTCATGGTAATAGGGCTAGCAAATAATTTTGAAATTACTCTGCGGTGTGTTTTCACTGCTTAGATATACGCCTTTCTGAAAGCCATTAAATATATGGAGTCAGTATCATTGCGACGAGTAATTCTTTGCTCTGATTCTCTAAGCAATCTTAAAGTTACATCTATTTCTTCTTCAGACTACCTGATGGCAACAATACAACACTTAATTGATCTTTATTATCTCCCCCTATGATCTAATACTTGGATTCCGGGTCATGTGGGAATCGGTTATCGGACATTTACATTACTACAGACCCCTCAGCAGATTTAAAGGTAGTTCTGAAACGCTCTGTAGTCAGAGCATGGACGACGCAATGCTACTTTCAAAGTATGTGTGGTTAAGGATTCTGTAGCAGCCTCATCCCGTGCTGCAAGACGCGAGGAAGTAATTTTAAAGCGTGTTCAGGTCGGCGGCCATTGCCCCTTTTCGCATGGTTTCCTCCAGCGAACCTCCCCCCATCTCCGACACATTTAAGACGAAATTCTTTGTGGGAGATATCCCATATTGTGTGATGTTTAATGGCTAGCGACGCTGAGGCAACTATCTACGAGATGTGCTGGGCAACGATTCCGCGATCTCTAACTTCTTTTTTTTTCTGCGCGAAAGTGGACTTCACCATTGGTTTGAGAGATGAGGAAAATATTGTTTTTCTTTATGTTACTTGAGCTGTACCATATATAGCCAGGACTTTGAATATGAATTCGTTTTGATTATGAATGATTATTCTGTGAGAGTGAAAAGAACCCAAGAATAACACCTAGAATTGTCAATTGAATATTATAGACTTGTAGTTTCATTCAAAATCAATTGTTAATAAACTGAGCATTCGCCCATTGGCAATGTCGTCTCAAAGTTTGTTCACATACGTTGTGTATGTCATTAGGCATTTCCTCCATCCCAGAGCACACTTGAAGTGCCCACACCTGAACGCACGAGCCCTTTATGAAAGTGGGTGCGTCGTTATGTCACCGAATGATGAATGTCCTGGCGCCCGGCCCATCACAGTATGTACTTTTTTTGCAGCTTGTTGTCACAGTATATATTTTGTGTTGCAGCTTGTAGTCACAGTATACATTATTTGTTGCAGTTTGTAGTCACAGTACGTAGTTTGTTTGGCCATCAACGTGTTGTTATTGCTTAGGGCACAGTGTTGTCTTCACAATATGTAGTTTGAGTTGCAGTTTGTGCCCGTTGCAACTTTACACCAAGTGATCATTCGAATAATTGTTTTTTGCAGGAACGAGTGTTTGAGGAACAGTCTGAGATATTCCACGGTTCCGACAGATTACCCACGACGCAAGATATAGGAGAAATGAAATATCTGGAGCGTGTAATAAAGGAATCTTTGAGGCTTTATCCCAGTGTTCCTTTCATTGGTCGAACTTTGACTGAAGACGTTCAAGTTGGTAAGTGAAATGCTGTAGGGGAGAATATCGATTTGTGTATATTATTGTTTTTGGGGGAGTCAATCATAATAACAGGCCTGTTCTGATACACATTCAAAGGATATTATGAGAAGTTAAAGATGCAGATTATGAAACATTTATAAAATTTACTACGCTCCTTTCCGTCTTCATTTAGATTAAATTCGAAACATTAACTGTATTGCTCTGTATATCATATTTGTTCGTGTCATTAATGTTATAACAACAATGCATTGAAGACACTAGTCTAATTTCTTTCTTGTTGGTGTCAAAAATTAGCATTTCAGAATTAACATATAGAACAATTCTCCACTCATTGACATTATAGGTCATTTCACGGCAATACACACTAAACTTGAATAAGGTGCCATTATGGAATTTCCAATTCATATCAATAAGAATACGTTGGTACGCGTCTTTCAATATGCAAAGATAATTTCGTATTTATCTACCTTGACAAAGTCGTCTTGTGTCGTAGGAGAGTACGTTTTACCGCAAGGCTGCCAAGTAACTCTCCATATCTACCACACCCACCGCAACCCGAAGTTCTTCCCCAACCCCGACGACTTCAATCCTGACAATTTCCTGCCAGAGAAAGTGCAGGGCCGTCACCCATACGCCTACGTGCCCTTCAGCGCTGGCTCCAGAAACTGCATTGGTGCGTATTACAGTCCAATTACAATTTTACGTAATATTTTCTTTTCCTAATATTATCTATCTCGTGTATTTTGAAATGTATTTGTGATACAGCTGAGACGATCGCTCTGCTAGAAGAAAGAGTGAAGTCTGCATTTCAAATTATTTCGTTATGCATGTCTGTTGTTCGCGCTGCTGGAGGAGAAGACGGTGCTGTCGGCCCAATGAATCCTCTTGTGAAAAGAGTGGGTTGGTTAAGCTTGTGTGGGTGCTGTAAATGGTGATCGTGCGGTTTGTGCTGCAGGCAGAAGTTCGCGCTGCTAGGAGGAGACCGTGCTGTCGGCCCAATGGATCCGCTTGTGAAAGAATGGGTTTAGCCTTGTGGGTGTGTTAATGGTGATCGTGGGGTTTGTGCTTGCAGGCAGCAAGTTCGCAGCTCAGGGCAGGAAGACCTGTTGGTCGCTTAATGGATCCTCTTGTGAAAGAATGTTGTGTAAGCTTTGTGGTTGTGTAATGGTGATTTGCGGCTGGGGTTTGTGCTGCAGGGCAGTAGTCGCCGATGAGCGAGCAAGATCGGTGCTGTCGCCTAAGGAATCGTCTTTGGAAAGAGTGGTTAGTAAAGCTCTGCTGGGTGGTTAATTGTCGTGTGGTTTGTGCTGCAGGGCAGAATTCGCGCTGCAGGAGAGAGACAGAGTGCTGTCCGGGGGGCGGTGATTCGCCGCTTCCGAGTGGCGCTGTTGACGCCCCTTCCGACATCACACTGGTGGCGGAGCTGGTGCTGCGCCCCCTCAACGGCATTCGCCTGGTGTTGGAGCGACGGTGAAAGCTTTTTCTGTAGTGGCACATTGAGTACGACCAAAATACTAGCTAACGAATAATCATTAATGCCAATTTCTGCAGAAAATGTTTTACGCACGAGGATCTGTCGTAGCGTTTTTAATACAATTAGCAACGAAAATCATTCTCTGAGTAAAATCCTATCCGTAGAAATAGTAAAGTTTCGAATCACGTGGCGGAAGTTTTGCATATACTACATCTTAACACGCCGTGAGCGAAACATTTTTGTACTGCTTTGTAAAATTATTTTTACGGTAGTAAATGGATTGGTGTATATAATAATAAAATAATGGTAACAATTAATGGTTGCTGTAATAATCAAAGACGTGAAGACGAAATATATTTGCGAAACAACTCATTTTTCACAGTATTAAAATGAAAACGTGGAAAACATGTACAGAAACACCGTTTTGCACTCAGCGTGAGGAGAAGGAGACAAGTTTGCTAGCATGTACAGAAACATGCTGACATCTTATGTGTACTATAGAATATTTTAATATAATACCATTTTATAATACGGTATACATTTCTTTTCTTGTGTTAACGATGATTGTGATACATGCCCGGGCAACGTAATATCGACTTGGACATACTATAACAGAAAAGATGGGAATGCTATTCCTAAAATATTGTAGACAGTACAATTGGTTTGTAATTATTTTTAGAAGAGTTGGGACATTATATTTATGAAGAGCTTGGTTGTCTGTGAAATTTAATATTTTTTTTGAATATGTTTATCGTTTTCATGGAGTTGATTAGAATGTTTTTATTTCTAGAAAAATTTTAGATGATAAGCATTCTAGATCTCGCTAATATCAAAAATGAAATAATGAAATTGTAATGTCCAAATCGTTCACACCAAGAGTTTGTAAAACAAGTTTATTATAATGATCCACAATATAAAATCGTATCAGCGACAAGTCAATAACCAAACTTCTAGGAAATGTTATATAATAAACTTTGCCGTGTTACCGTAAGCCGAGCAGATGTCCTAGATTCAGACCAAACCGTTAACCGCCATGAACAAATACTAATAAACTTGAACAGTTTGCCACCAAAGATCATTAAATCCAACTCGCTCAAAGCACCGCTAGTCTCCTGAAGAAATGCAACTGTCCTCAATACGCCTCGAAACGGGGCGAACTCGTGTATGCAGCTTAGTAAATGCTCGGAAAGTTCAATGCACGTTCACGCCACTGCAGTGCGACCATTCCTTCTCTTTGCGGCCATCAACGGCCAATCCTGCAACGTAAAGAGAAATACAAGAAAGGTCAGTTTGACCTTAGTCAGCCGGCGCGCGCATTGCGTGTGCAGAAATACAAAGTTTGTTTTAAGTGTCATTGCCCTGTTTCAATTTTCTTACTCCAGAAAGTCGCTTGAACTTCGCCTCTTGGTCGGGTTGGTGTGAAGCGATATCGGAAATGAGTGTTTTCCGAATCAGCTGCTTTACGAAAAATTTAGTTGCGATCTTTTTTTATGTGATTGTGGCGTTGATAATTCGTGATGAAATTCTATTATATGAATGTACCTAGGGGTGCAGAGGGCAGTCTGAAGCATTCATTTTAAACTACTTGACGTTCTTTCAAATGCGAATTTTCTGTAATTGCCCGACTAGGGCATGAGTAGTCCAGTTAGGCCTAATTATTGCTTTATAAAGCGTGAGGCAGTTTCCTGTTGACAGTTTGTTCTGCTTGTGCAACAAGCTTCGCAATCTGCCTTTGATCTGCTGCGCTTTTGTCTGCCAGTTTTCTATATGCAGTTTAAAAGTAAGTAGGCTCTGTCTTCTTTCGTTGCAGCGGGAGAGGTGGCTCAAGGCATTATACATAATTCAAACTCTACAACGTCTGACATTGACGCAATTGCAGTATATCTTCTCGTCTATATGAATTTATTTACTTTCGTTCATTACTATGTTTTTGTAAATCATAATTATAAAAAGCACTTCCAAATTGCCTTAAATAATTTCAAAAATGACATTTTATGACATTCATTACGCCATAACATTTTGCAGGTTTGTACAACTACCGCCTTTATTCCTTCCATTGATTCCAAAGTTCATTCACATGGAATTTTAAATGATTATATAATGGAGTTCTTTAACGGCATTTATAATCTTCGAACATCGACATGGGCTTAGGAGATAGAAAGAGATGAAATTAGAAACATTGAAATTTCTCGGAAAAAGTGCTAAGTAGTTATCTGGTGGCAGTGTTATTAGAACTACATTTAATGAACCAAGATTTCAAAAATTAATGATATGAACTGAGGATTACACGAATACAGTACCTAGACCTTCGACTGCAAACGTCGGCCTCGCCCAGGCCCCTCCACGCTCTCCGAAGTGGTCGTGAGGACACTCAGCGCTCAGGGGTTGGGAAGCAACAGCGAGTTCTGTATCAGTGGCTGGTGTGAAGTACGAAGTGTCAATTAGTAAGGAAGAATTAGTTGCGAACCGTCTAGCGCTGACGGAGACCAGAGCATTTACAGAGCCCTGAAATCACAACTAGTTCTTACCCGGATTCGCCGCAACGTCTACGAGGCAATCGAGGAGCAGCGAAAGAGGTACGTTCGCGCTACGCAGCTTATCGAGCGTAACAAGCGCCTTTTCACAACATCTGACTGATCCATGGTGCACGAAGTGTAGGTATGTGTCCCTGATGTAACTGACGTAACAAGCGTACGAACTGAACCTACACACTTTAGTGAAAACAAGATTTTCGATACCACGGGTCCACTGTACGAGTTATTGTTTTGAACAGAAAATTGCTGATTTCTGTCGCAGCATTTCAATTAGTTAATTCTTTTCACTACGAAAGGACATAGTAAGGCGTAAAATTATTCTCATTTAAAAACGTGGTCAAATGAAGTGAACTTACCAAAGTGTTGATGTATGGGACATAATGGTGAAACTTGCACAAAAATCAACACATGGTAGCACACTTATCACTTCAAAGAAGATAGGGCGTTCCGGTTAGTTTAAAAAAATTAACATTCGCCGGTTAATGAAGGATTAATTAATCGAAATAATTGAGGCATTGTGTTATGAACTTTCTCAATGTACATTATGCTCTCGAAACACTCACCTGCATTGTGCCTTGTGAATTTGGAATTCTAATGCAAACAAAATTATCTACAAGGTAAACCAACTGAAACTTAAGTCAGTGAAACTGTCTTAAGCTGTCCCTAATGGTGTTAACAAAAACATGCCGTTAATGCATGCGGATACTTAATGAATATTATAAAGTTAAGGGTGGTTACCCTTAGTTTTATATAGTTTCATTAATTTGGGTCCTTCCTCGATTAAAAATGTCTGAAAGTTTGCTCGTTGAAACTTTAATATTTTCTAATATCACTTGGCTAGTGTCAAACACACTTTTTGACTTCTCGCTCATTCTCTTACTCGGAGAACTCCCTTGTCGTTGTCATCGAACTCATACTTACGAGTGAGTTAGACGAAGGTGCAATTCACATCATGCAGGAACTTTAGGACAGGGCGGTCTCATGAAGTTCGAGAATAACCTTCAGATCGGTCTCTCGCATGCGTCGTGCTTTGCAAACAGTTCCCACAGAAGAAAGCAGGGGTTTGCAAACGTGATAAGAATTCTGCGGAAGGTGCGCAGCGATCGCGATGTTATGTTCCACATATAAACATTTTAAATTCATCTGCTGTTATCTCAAAAAGAAATTAATCTCCCTGCAATATGTTATTGTTATAATAAATCTCAAAATGCTCCTGTGGAAGGAACATACTGCATCAACAGTAATCACTCTCTCATTTCTGGATCCAACTGGATTGCACATACCTTGCAGCTTCTGGGCTGAAAACAAAATTCTGCTGCTTCGGGGAAGTGTCAGAATTCGTTTCAGTCAGTGAGTCAAGTGCGTTCAAGGGCTTTTGCTCAAGAGTTGCGTTGCCGCACGATAAGTAACGCGCGTCGTAGAATAACACTGTATCTTATGCGAAATGGCACACGAGCGGTTTGGCCTTTCCGCATTAGATACAGTGTTACTCTACGACGCACGCTATTTTAACGCGCGTTAACGCAACGCTCGTGTGACACAGATCAGAGAGGAAATGAGAAGAGGAAGGGGCGCGGCCGGAGGATCGAGTCAAGAGGGCTGGA